ACTGTTAAATGTGATAGTCAAAGTGCAATACACCTGTCGAAGAATTCAGCCTATCATGAGCGAACCAAGCCCATTGATGTGAGGCTGCATTTCATCAGAGGGGTAATTGAGCGTGGAGAAGTCCAAGTGCTGAAAGTTTCGACAGATCATAATGCTGCTGATATGATCACCAAGACATTGCCCAGTTGCAAGTTTTTCCACTGTATGCAGTTAATAAATCTGCATGAAGAAAGCTAGTTTCTTGATGTTATAGAGTTAGATCCAAGGTGGAGATTTGTGAGACATTGGATCGAACTCTAGTGTGGTCGAAGTCTGTTCGCAAGTAATGCGTGTTGTAGTCGAAGTTTGTTCTAACATGCATGAGTAAATATTGCTAAGGTTGTTAGCATGAGTAAATATTGCTAAGGTTGTTAGCATGAGTAAATATTGCTAAGGTTGTTAGCATGAGTAAATATTGCTAGGGTTGTTAGCATGTTGAATTGGGTCTTGCTTGTAAGCCCAATTGTTTAAGTTAGCTTGTACCCTAAGTTAGCTTGTAATGGGTAATTGTTAAAAAGCCCATTAGGTTAGTGTGCTATTTTATTATAAATAGGATGTTAGTTTCTCAATCTTGAATATAAGGAAAAATAGGAAGATAAAGTCCTAATTTCAAGGGAGAGAGGTTATTTTGTTATTCTTGTATACTTGTAATCTTGTTCTAAGAGAAAGGAAATAATAGCAGTTTAATAACCAATCCTTGTTGTTCCTTGTTGTTTTTTTTTTCTTTATTAACCCTAACCCTTGTGTGTTTCTTGATAAGAAACCGTGTATACTTTGTTTAACGGTATCCTATTCACAACAGTTTTTTTAGTAGAATATTTAAAAAAAAAATCATTTGTGGAAACCTTGTACTGCTGGAAATGATGTCTCTCTCTATTCTGATGTTGAGTAAGTGTCTCAAATAGCATATACATTTATGTTATTGTTTTGTTTAGAAATTTAAATGGAATTGAGATAAGGACTTTATAAAACACAAATGATGAAGTGAACAAATTCGAAAGACTTATTTATTTTTATTTAAAATTGTTTAATTTTAGGAATTCAAAAATTGAATTGGAAGGTTTAGATAAATTCCTACCGATGTCCACTTTGGTGTAAATAAAACTCCTATAAATGTCCTACAAACACGTTATTTAAGGCCCACTCTCATTGGAGATTTATTGACACGAATGGTGTGAATAAAACTCCTATAGTTCGTCGACATTTTCACGGTAATATTCGAACTTTCAGGTATTTTGCGATAATTTTTTAAATTCAGAGTCATTCGGTGTTTTTCTTTAGAAACTTTTGACGTTATACGTTTTTTGTGAGTTTAAGGTCACTTTTGAGCTATTTGAGTCAAATTTCCGATTTTATGTTTATTAGAGTTATCACCTCTAAACCTTTACTTTGGGTACTTTAGAGTACTTTTGAAGTACCCTATAATTATTTTTGAGAATTGAAAATATTGAGGAACTTGATGAATTTGGGGTTCAGGATGATATCATAACTTTTTCCTTTTTGACGAGAGAAAATTAAATTATTTAAACCATGATTTTTAAATATAGTAATCCATAGGATTTACATTGACGATCTTAATTGGCGATTTTGGATAAATAATAATATGAAGGGATTACAGTGACAACCTTAATTGGTGATTGATGATATTTAGTAATTCGAAAGGATTACAATTAGAGCTGTCAAAATGGGCTACTTGACCCTAAACAGGAGGGCCCTGGTGGCTTCGGGCTTTTTTAGGGTTGGGCCAAAAAGCTCATTACTAATATGGGCTTGAAAATTACTACCCGAACCCGGCCCTTGATGGGCTTCGGGCTACCCGGCCCTAAACGGACTTTTTCTTAATAAAAAATTTAAAAAAAATCATAATATTTATTAAAAATAAAATAAAAAAAATAATATTATTTTAAACATAATACATTTTTAAGTACTATATTATGTTTTATAAATACTATAATGTGTTTTTAAATACAATACATGTCTAAATTATATAAAATAATACTCGAATATTTAACATAAGAGAAACTAATAGAATAAGAGAAAAGAATGTTGAGTATATTAATGTATAATATTTAGAAGAGAAAGATTGAATAGAATAGAGATAAAATTTAGTGAGGTGAGAATAGAGATAAAATTCAGAGTTAGGTAGGACTTCGGTCTAATAGTGGCTTGGTTCAGAGAGGGACTATTGCGGTCTCGCGTCCAAAGAGAGACACGATTCAAGAGGAACCGGAGACATGGGTAAATAAGTAACATATCTCTTATCCCAAAGATTTGGTACCACGTGTATTTTTGATGAGGTGTTAGTGGCATTAACATTATCATTCGCATTATTATTTAACTTTGATTGTGATGTTAAGTGTGAATGGTGTATTTATTAACTCATTATTACTATTCTTAACTCACTATTACTATTATGTTGCTGAATTTCTCCGTTAAGATGTATTCTCACCCCTTTCTTGTTTGTTTTGTTGGTTGTATGCAAGTTGTATGCAAATTGATGTACAGAGACTCAACAGGAGTAGTCACTTGTGAGTTGAAGACTGTCTTGGAGCTTTCTTCCCTATTTCTTTTATCGTTTTTAGTTGGTTATCGTCTGCTCTGGTTTGTAATACTGGGAACAACGTTATTTATTTTGGAGTTTTCCGTTGAAGTTTATTTTCGTTATTTGTTGGTTTAATATATTATTGATGCTTATGAAGATTATTTGATTTTTCGCTGGGAGTTTGAAAATATTTTATGAAATGAATGATTTGTGTGAAGTAACATTCCTAAACAACATTCTTTTCTCTTTTATATTAAGAGTTGGGGTTTAGAGTGTTACATAGTGGTATCAGGGCAGGTCGGTCGGTCCAGCCATGTTTTGGTGATTTTATCTATTTCCTAGTGTACGACAAGTGTGTGAACATTGTTGATACAATGTTTCTTCTAATAGTTATTTGATGTTGTAGCAGAGAAATGGCTAGAAGAAATGATCACTCTACCACTGATGCCTTGGCAGCTTTGGCTCAAGTTTTGCAAGTTCAGCAGAATTCATAGGTTGAAGATGATGGATCCTGAGGACTGGACTGGTTTTTGAGAAACAAGCCATCAACCTTCAAAAGAAGGTATGACCTACAGGGTTCTTAAGTTTGGTTGCAAGAGATCGAGAAAATCTTCTGAGTAATGACTTGTGCAGATGCTCAGAATATTACTTATGGTGCTTACATGTTGTCTGAGGAAGCAGAGTACTGGTGGGATAATGTTTGATAAAGATTTGAGGCTAATGGTGCGGTGATTACTCCGGCTGTTTTCATGGGAGCATTCTTGAAAAAATATTTCTCAGTTGATGTGCGTTGCAAAATGGAGATTGAATTTCTTGAAATTAAGCAAGGGAATATGAATGTCGCAGATTATACTACCAAGTTTGAAAATTCGTTTAGATTCTACACTTACTATAATGGAGTAGAAGCTGAATTTTTAACATTTCATATAATATACAATTTTTCTAATAATATTCACATAAAATCATTATAAATAAAATAAATTAATTTTTCCTCACATTTCCCATCAGATTAGTAATCAAAAGATCACTAAAACAACATTAAAGTAAGAAATAACAGAAAAATAACAATGATTTATAGTATTTTAAAAAATAATAAAATGACTGTGTTGAATATTAATTTAGAGGCTTTAATAAGCTTATTCTTTTTTTTAAGGATAATTCAGTACCTTTTTAATTTTTAATCCTTTTATTTATTTGATAATTAGGACCAAATAAAAGATGGAAGGAAGATATCTTCTTGTGCCATCGCTCAACAAAGATTGTCAATAGCTGATCTTTAAGCATGGTAAGTAAACAGTCTATCAGTGGAAAGATACCGCAATCCTCAACTATCGGCTTCATCTTCGGTGGTATCTCGACATCAGAGAATTTCTTCAGTTTCAACCCATGGGTGAGCACCTTAAACGACATACAGTTCTAGAAAAAACAAAATAAAAAATATCGGTTAATTTCAAAGTATCAATAATAAATAAAGTTACATCATCGGCATATCATATACATACCTCTCCCAGCCATAATCTGAATGCCATAGGACCCATATATCTTATAAGAACATAACAATCACTGGGCCATGTTACCTTGGATTTTCGACATAGATATAAATGGAAAGACAAATTGGCATGCCATGGTGACGGGTGAAGTCGAACATGGTAAATAGAGACCGTGAGGTGATTTTATTTTTGCATGTCAAAAGGTGATTTGGAAATTTCGGTTGAATTTTATAGCTGAAGATCAAGGAGTATTTGTGGAGTCTTCGGACTTAGTGAAATTTCCAAGTAATTTGGTTGGTTATTTTGTTTAGTCGAAATAGCGGAAATTGGATAAGATCAAGTTGTCATCCAGAGACACGTGGAGGTTCTTCGAAGACAACGGTTGCATGAGAGCAACAACGTGTCATGATGTGTTTAGTCGACCGTTGTAGGAAATTATTTTAGACTATTATTTAAGTAGATGTTTCACTACAAAAAAATTGCATGTTGCCATGTGATATTCACGTCACAAAGTGATTTTAGCGACGTGATCATTTGTGTGGCAGAGGCACGTGTGACAACTCTGTTGCCACGTGAAAATCATGTCGCAACTTTGCCACGCGATTTTCACGTCACAATAATGTTTACAGAAGTTACAGGTGTAGCAGGCGTAGCAGAAGGGGGCAGACATGTGTAAGAACGTTGCCACGTGAATTTCATATGGCAAGTTGCAACGTGATATTCATGTGGCAAGTTGCGACGTGAATATCACGTGGCTAAATTATAAAAAAACTGGATTGTTTTTATACGTTTATTATTTTATATTATATTTAATAGTTTGTATTTTTAATTATTTTAAAATACAAAATGCATATGACATGGTTGATTGGGGTGCTCTTGGCAATATTCTCAATGAGATAGGTCTGCCAAAGAGGTTTGTTGATTGGATCATGACTACTGTTACCACAGTCTCTTATAGATTCAACATTAATGGTACTTACACTTATAAGATAGAGGCTAGAAGGGGTATCAGACAAAGGGATCCATTGTCCCCCCTTCTGTTTGTGATAACTATGGAGTACCTTAGTAGGCTACTGTTCAGAATGCAAAAAAACCCGGATTTCAATCATCATACCAGATGTGAAAGGTTGCAGCTCACTCACCTAACATTTGCTGATGATCTTCTGTTGTTCTCAAGAGGTGATCAAAGCTCCATGGAGATTCTGCAGCGCACTATCAAAAGCTTTTTGGATTCAACAGGTATGAAAATTAATCCTTCAAAAAGTAAGGTGTATTTTGGTAGTGTTTCAGATTCTGTAAAGAACTTAATTCTGCAGTTGACTTCTTATAAGGAGGGGACCTTCCCCTTTAGATATCTTGGAGTCCCAGTGACTAGTAAGAAGTTGTTTGTTGTTCATTATATGTCGTTGGTGGATAAATTAATGAGTAGGATAACTCATTGGAGTTCTAGGCTTCTTAGTTATGCTGGAAGACTACAGTTGACTAAAAGTGTGTTGTATGCTATTACTTCTTACTGGATGCAGTGTATTTGGTTCCCTAAAGCTGTGATTAGCAAAATCAATGCCATTTGTAGATCGTTTCTCTGGACAGGTGGTAGCACTATCAGTAGGAAGAGTCCAATTGCCTGGGAAAAGGTGTGCAAACCTACTGTTAAAGGGGGTATGAATGTGTTAGATTTAGAGGTTTGGAATAGCATGTTTATGATGAAACTACTCTGGAATATTTGCACGAAAACTGATGATTTATGGGTTCGGTGGATACACGCCTATTACTTGAAAAATGAGGATATGATGCATAAAGTGGTCAAGGGATCAGACTCGACTATTTTTAAAACTATTCTTCTGCAGAGGGATAACATAGGGAACATGCAGATTGTTTGGAATGAGATGGTGCAATCAGGGAGATTCAATGGTAGGAAAGTGTATGTGAACTTGTTGCCTGCCACACCAAATGTTGTTTGGGCCAAGTTAATTCTCCATAATAGAGCAAGACCTCGTGCAATCTATACACTATGGGTGATCTGTCATGGGAATTTAGCCACAAAAGCCAGACTGTATCGGTTTGGAATGGTGAATAATAATCAATGTGTCTTTTGTTCTGAGGTGGAAACCATTGACCACCTATTTTTTGAGTGTTCTTTTTTTAGGAAGGTCTGGGTTGAAACGCTTCATTGGAGTGGTATCCAACACACTCCTAGAAGTTGGAATGAGGAGAAAAATTGGATTTTGAATTGCTATGGAGGTAAAGGTTGGAAATCTGAACTTGTTAGATTAGCTCTGACAGAAACTTTGCATGAGCTGTGGCCCTTTAGAAATGACTCTTGTTTCAATCAAAGAGATGACAATAGGAATTGTACAGATAGAATCATTAACAACATAGTTTACAGAGGGTGGTCGAGTCCTAAGCTTAGACCACACATAGCTTTTTTGATGGTACAGTAAGTTTAGTTTTGTTTCCTTGGTGTGGGCTGGATCTTTGATCGCCTTATCGTGTATTGGCTTTGGATTAATGAAATTTTTTGATTAAAAAAAAATAAAATACAAAATTCATAATAATTTTTTTAATAATATTTTTAATTGAAAATTTAATAAATATATATTTACTTTAATTATCTTTAAAAAATTTATTAAAAAAAATCTATACTTATTTATTATGTAATACATATTTTAAAAAATACATACTAATTAAAAAAATTACTTTTTTTAAAAAGTATATACTTGCTCCAATTTAATATAAAAATAATACTTAATAAATAAATAAAATTATTTTTATTTATAACTTAATATATTATGTTTAATATATTTTATATTTTTTTAAAATTTAAACAAGTATAATATTATATTTAATACTATATTATATTCTAAAAATAATTTAATATCTTTTAAAATATTAAACAAATTTGTTTTAATTTAATATATTATAACTTATATTTTTTTGTTTTAATTTAAAATATATATCAAATTAATATTTTGTTTATTATTTCTAAAAATTCAAATAACCTAAATATATAAATTTTTATGTTAATGACCTAATTAAAAACATATGATTAACCTAAATATATTACCTCAAATTAATATTCTGCTAATAACTTATAAATTTCTTTTTCTTTGAAAAGCATATGACTATCCTAAATCTAAGAATCAAAACTCAAATAATACAACAATGAACACATAACCTAATTCTAACATATTCTATTTATTAAAAAAAAAATTAAACATCAAATATACATTCATATAAATCTAAATCTAACATAAAACCTAATTATATATATATATATATATATATATATATATATATATATATATATATATATATATATATATATATATATATATATATATATATATATATATATATATATATATATATATATATATATATATATATATATATATATATATATATATATATATATATATATATATATATATATATATATATATATATATATATATATATATATATATATATATATATTCATAAATTTTTGGAAGAAAAAAATTAATTACAAAATTACCTCTATGAAATCACAAAATATATATGTGGAGATCCTCTTCTTTTAAATAATCTAAATTAAAAATGAAAAAAAATATTAATAACAAATTAATATTTAATTTATAGAATATAAATAAAAGAAAAAAATAACAATACAATTTTACCTTATTGAAGTTGAAGTTGAAGAGAAAATAATTTTGGAATGAAGAGGAAGAAGATGCAGAGGAAGAAGCACAAAGAAAATGAAAAAACAATACACTAATGTGTGAGCGATGGGAATCTGAAGCGTAATATTTATTTTCACATTTGTGAAGTGAATTTCACGTCGCAACTTGTAACGTGATATTCACGTGGCAATTTTTTTTATACCATTGGCTTGTGACGTGTATATCGCGTGGCTACGTCTGAAGGAATCCAACGGTCATTTAAGTCTGGCTGAGCCATAAACTCAGTCAAAAGTTTGAGGAAATGATGCTTTACTTTTTTTGCAAAAAAAGTTGTGACGTGAATATCACTTCACAACGTAACTTTTTCAAAATTCAAAGCTCCCTCCTTCTGAAAACTCTGACTTTTTAAAAAAATCTAGTGCGCTTTACAACTAGTCTTCCATGTTAAATTATTAAAAAATTTAGTGAAGTGTTTATCACGTCGCAACAGATCTAAGTTGTAGGGGTCTGCAATTGTACTTAAATTTCTACAAACTCAAAGTATCTGTGTGATTGAGAAATGAGTGAAGAAATGTACGTATGCGCTCCACATTATTAAATTCTAAGTCTTTTTACATTGAATTCATTTATACATTTAGGTTACATTTCGATTTCAGTCATTTTACTTTCAAAGCCTTTACATTTCGATGTTAGTCAAGTTCAAATTGTTATTTCTCAAATGTTGTATTTCGATTTCTATAGCAATATGTTGTCCAAAAGTTATGTTTCACACAAATATGTTCGGGATATTTTCGAGTTTAATCCCTTAAGTATTAATAGAAATTTGTTTTGTTTACCAAATTTCCAAGAAAGTTGACCCACCAAAAAGCCCTTCATTCGTGTGTACAGACGGATCTGTCGAAGCAAGAGATGTCTCATGAGGAACATTGACATTTGTCTCTAGAGTAACCTCTATAGTAGCTATTGGCTCTACCTCAGAAGGACGGGGCACCTCTGCCATCTCAAAAGTATGGGGCACCTCTATCTCTGTTGGATGGAGCACATATGTCTTTGCCACAACCTGCACGTCATCCTAAATTGGTGCCTGGACATCAATTGGCTCATCCTCATCATTTCTCGTCCATCCAAAAGCATATCTGAATCCTCTACGTCAGATAATGCGGGGTGCACGAAATTGAGCCTGATCGGCCACCCGTCTCCTATAACAACCAATCGGTGTTACTTTTCATGTCTGAAGATGTGAGTCTTCTATGTCACCTCTCTTCTCTCCGGCCCTCGCAACAACATCTCTATTGTCCTGTTGAACAACAATCATATCATTTGTCTCTGATATTCATGGAAAAAATAAAACAATTTTTTAACCTACTGAAAATTTTTAAAAATCTGAAAATTATGTTAAAGTAATGTTTAAACTATTGAATTTTTGTGTGAATAAAACTCCTACAAAGATATATATATATATATATATATATATATATATATATATATATATATGAACTAAAATTCAGTAGGTGTACACGTTTAAGCATTAACTCTATGTTATAAATATGATGTTTAAAACATATTTATGATTTAATAAATTGATTACTTTTCTCATACATTCCTTAAATATTATTTGTTTGTTTTTTTGGTCAAGTTATTTGTTGTATATTTTTATTATAATTTAAAGTTTTATATTGTACCCCAAAAAAGTGTTAATGTATAACATTTGAAAAATTAGTGAGTGCAAAAAGTAAATAAATAAAACCATTAAAGTTAGTGTAGAGTTCCTAAAAATTTTAACCTACTGAACTTTTGGCAGTTTTAGGAGTTTTATTCACTAAAAAAGTACGCTGAATTTTAGGAGTTTTATTCACTTTGTAGAAATATATAACTTAGATTAATAAGTACGCTGAATTTTAATTATGAATTCCTATTTCCCTATTATTTTTCCATGAATTTAGCATTACTCAACGATGATATATCCCCTTATCTCTCCATTGCTTTGTATGACGGTTACTTAAAATGTGGAACTTTTGGTGTAAATCATTGTGATTCATCTCTCTACTCTTTTAGTCTGTGTTTGTGGTTAGAACACTAACGACCATGTGTATATCTTTCTGTCTTCATTCTTCATGAACTCACCTAGTTCAAGTCTTTTTCTCAAAATATCTCTTCTCCTTCGTGATTATCTAATATTGGAATTTCATTTGCGATGACTAACTTATCTGTATAAAAGTCTCTTTTGGTTGGTTTTTGATTGAGTGTGTGGCTATTAGGTGATTTTCGATAGAAAGCATAAGATGGATGCAAATATTTTTGATACGCACTCAGTCTTAAACTTTCAACGAAGAAACAGCATAAGAGCCACACACTTTTATATATATATAAGTTGGATATTGCAAATTGTTGTGTGGGTCACCAAAATAAGTGAGCCAACTTAATCTTAATATCATTATTATTAAAAGAAAGGAAAAAAAAAGGGGGGAATTAGCTTTGTGGGCCAAAGCCCATGAAATGGTTTAAAAGGATTTTAACCCTTGGTGTGTGGGAGAAAATAATAGGAGCAAGGGGGAAGAGAGAAGCAACATGAGTGATTCTACAAACAGAGAGAAGAATATCAAAGAGTGTCTCTTTATTGTTGTGTCGTAGTACCCGTTGAGGGGTTAGTTGATTTGATATCCACCTTGTACGGTGAAGATTATCTTTGCTCTGTTGATCCCTGGTGGTTCCAGGAGGACTTGTGGTGTACCCATTAATTTATTAGTGGAAGATTTACTAGCTTGGTCTCGTGGGTTGTTTTCCCTTTAAGGATTTTTTCCCACGTTAATAATTCTGGTGTGTCCTTTACTTTATTTGCTCTATTTTGTGCTTATTATTGTTGTCTGAACAATTTGTGTGGAGCCTATTTTTAATTGCACGTAGAGGGAAAGTTGATCCATGAGCTTCCGCATTTTATTACTATTTTCTATATTTGCTATCTTTCCCCAACAGTGGTATCAGAGCTCCTTGGTTGGAGTTCTGTTTGGTGCTATTAAAATGGGTGAAGGTGATATGGCTGGTACTATGCTGAAATTGAATTCTTCCAACTATCCTATTTGGAAATCTCGGATGGAAGACTTGTTGTTGTGTAAGGACTTGTATGATCCCATTGACGGAGACGGTACTAAGCCAGATGATAAATCTGTTGCAGAATGGACAAAGACAAACAGAAAAAAATTGGCATGATCAGGCAATGGATATATCAGAGCATTTATCATCATGTGTCTAGTGAGACTAGTGCCCACAGTCTGTGGAAGAAATTGAAGGACATGTTTGAGTCCAAGAATGCACAGAACAAGGTATTTTTGTTTCGGAGACTGGTTAATCTGAAGTATAGGGATGGTTCTTCAGTGGCAGAGCATATGAGCAGTTTTCAGAATCTTGTGAATCAGCTGACTACTATTGAGATTAAACTTCCTGATGAGCTACTTGCTTTGTTGTTGCGTAGCTCATTGCTAGACAGTTGGGAAACATTGGTGGTATCTCTGAGCAATTCCACTAATGGCAATATGACTTTTGATACTGTGAAAGAAGCCCTCTTGAATGAAGAAATCAGGAGGAAGGGAAACAATATGGCTAGTCCATCGACTCACAGAGAAGCCTTGGTTGTTGAGTCACGGGGGAGAAGCCAACATAGAACCTCTCATAAATCTAATGACAGAAGCAAGTCAAGAGGACAGTCCAGAGGTCAGTCAAGGCCCAGGAAAGACATCAGGTGCTATCATTGCAACAAAGCAGGTCATATGATAAGAGAATGC